ACAACTAAAACCAGCCCTCGAGTTTCCCCGAGGTGGCGCTGCAAGGGGCTCTAGGTTGGACCAACACTCAGAGGAGCACTGGCCCGGGGGGGTTTAAATAAGATGACCCTCGGGCTCCGGAAACCCAAGGGGAAAAGAGGCTAGGTGGCAAATGGTAAAACCAAGGTTGGGCATTGCTGGAAAAGCTTTAATCAAGGCGAACAATCAAGGGGTTCCCATTATAACCCAACCGCGTAAGGAACGCAAAAATCCAGGAACATAACACCGATAAGACGGAAACTAGGGCGGCAAGAGTGGAACAAAACACTAGGAGAGAGGCCGAGCCTTCCACCCTTTACCAAGTATATAGATGCATTAAGATAACATGGCAATATAATGATATCCCAACAAGTAAATAATGTTCCAACAAGGAACGGTCTCCAATCTTCACCTGCAACTAGCAACGCTATAAGAGGGGCTGAGCAAAGCGGTAACATAGCCAATCAACGGTTTGCTAGGACATGGTGGGTTAGAGGTTTGACATGGCAATTTGGAAGGCATGATAAGCAAGTGGTAGGCATCATAGTATAGGCATAGCAAAAGAGCGAGCATCTAGCAAAGCAAAGATAGTAGTGATTTCGAGGGTATGATCATCTTGCCTGCAAAGTTGTCAGAGTTGACTGGATCCTCGAAAGCAAACTCAATGGGCTCCTCGTTAGCGAACTCGTCTCCCGGCTCTACCCAAACAAGATAAACAAGCAAACGGAACACAATCAACCACGTGCAAGGCTCGAACAATATGATGCAAGGATGATATGCTATGCGGGATGCGATGCGGGATGCATATGCAAGATTTGACAAGGAATGCATGAACCTGGCCTCAACTTGGAAATCCAAATGTGCCACTGGAAAGATGAGATGAAATCGCTTGAAAACGATATAAAGAACGCCGGAATCGGAGTTGCGGTTTGGAAATGGCAAGCGATTCAAATATGACCATGTTCTGCGATTTGCAGCAAGTAGCCATATAAATGCAACAAGATGAACATGCTACATCATCCGAACATGGCATCAAAATACAAGGCAGGGATGCATTCATGATGCTTAACAAAAGTCTAGCACTAAGCTACGGCCAATTCATCCATTAACGGGTTCAAACAAGCATGGCAAAAATGCATATGGTAAACAGATCTCAGACTTAGTGAAATTAACACTTGTCTGGAATTTCAGATCAGATAGCACTCTTCGGAGCATGAAAACTACATGCTACAGGACCTGAACATGGCAAAGTAAAGCATGGCATGGAGCTACTCAAAAAGCTTTACAAAAGTCCCTTAGTGACCTTGAGCCAAAAGGGATCAGAAAATACATTTGCAAGCATGTGAACATGGCAAAAACATAATCAGTTCTCAGACTTAGTGAAAACTGGAGCATGCTGAAACAGATATCAAGTAGGCATGTTTACGAGCTCGATGCACTCATCACAGAGCAAGTCATGACAATCTAAGCATACACCTATCAAGAATACACAAAATTCAAGCTAGACATGGCAAGAACAACAACATAGCATGCACGGATCAACTACAACATCATCGGCAAAATCGCTAACAAGTAGACAATCTGCCCAGATTCACGAAATGACAAAAGTAGAGCTCGATTGACTCAAGCTAGGGTGCTCCATAATTGCAAACAAAGACATAGATGGATAGAGCACTACAAGATTAACAAAACATCCTTACTAATCATCCTCAAAAGAGGCACGGATCACTAGGAAACAACATGAACATATGGCCATATGAGATAAACAGCTCAAGGACTTAGTGGAAATGCTAAGTCCCTGAAATCAGCATTACCAAGTGCCTCACTTTGCAAGCTTGTGCTAGTCACCACACACATCACAAAAATACATGGGTTGCACCTTTGGAAAGATATCAAAACCCTTAACAAAACATATGTAGAGCACATGGGCATATCATGCACACAATAATCATGGCAAAAATGACAAATATCTAAATGGAGCAGCAGATCTGATAATTATCTCAAGTAGCACTCTTCTAACAGCATTTCGGGCGTCAAGATGAACTCAAATGAAAATGATGCAATGTAATGAAATGATGTACTCTCTGAGATGAACATTTTGATATGCTATATGCCCAAAATGGAACTACGGATGCGGAGTTATAGCACGATGAACATTGCAAAAAAAATACTGGAGAGGGGAAAAGTCAACCCTAGTGGATCTAGGGTTTGGCACTGTAGCGGCGGATCTGGCGGTTACTGCTCACCCACGGCGTCGAGGTCGCCGGACATGGGCGAGGTCGCCGGAGAAGAAGAGTCCGGCCGGGGCGGCACTAGCCGGCGACGAGGGGCGGCGAGGAGGCGGCGCCGGCGGGCACAAACGCTGAGGTGGCCGCGGGCGGCGTCTGCCGGTGCGAGGAGGCGACGAGGCGGCGTCTTGGCGGCGGCGGCTGACGAGCTGGCGGGCAGCGGAGGCGGTCGGCGAACGGGGCGAAGACGGCGGCGCGGCGAGGACCGGGCGGCGGGGAAGAGGCGCGGGGCGGCGGAGCAGATCTGGGCCGCGGGGGTCGGTTGCGGGCTCCCGCGGGCCGCGGCGGAGGAGGCCGGCCGGGGACACGTGGCAGACCCTGGTTGGCGGCGGCGATTTGGTCCGGCGCGGGCGGAGACGGTTTTTTTAGGGTTTCGGACGAGGGAGATCCGGATTTTCGGAGGAGGGGCTATATATAGGCATAGGAGGAGCTAGGAGAGTCCAAATGAGGTGTGGTTTTCGGCCACGCGATCGTAATCGAACGCTCTAGGTGATGGAGAAGGTTTATGTGGGTTTTGGGCCAAATTGGAGGGGTGTTGGGCTGCAACACAGATGAGGCCTTTTCGGTCCCTCGGTTAACTGTTGGAGCATCAAACGAAGTCCAAAAGGTACGAAACTTGACAGGCGGTCTACCTGTAGTAAACCAAGGCCGCTTGGCAAGTCTCAGTCCAATCCGGAAATGTTTAATCCCCACACACGAAAGAAAGGTAGAATTGACCACCGGAGGAGAACGAAGCGCCGGAATGCAAAACGGACAACGGGGAAAATGCTTGAATGCATGAGATAAACACGTACGCAAATGCAATGCACATGATGACATGATATGAGATGCATGACAACGACAACAACACACGGAGACAAAAACCCGAACACGAGAAAATGAAATAACTTAAGGCCGGAAACGGCAAGAGTTGGAGTACATATTGGGTAAGTTACACCCGGGGTGTTACATGCAATGTGTGAGGATTTGATCTAATGCAATAAAACTGGATAGTAGGAAAGGTATAATCAAAGTGTTACTTGCCTTGCTGATGATCCGGGAAACCTAACGATTCGAAGTAACAGGCGGCGTACTCCGGATACTCTATCGCAGACAAACAAACAAGAATACAATAAGTACTCATCTAATGCACAGGTAAAACTCAAATAAGATATCTAACCAGAAGGTTCAACTTAAGAACTCCGGTTGACAAAAAGAATCAAATCGAACGAAGCAACGAAAATCAAACGGCGAAAGAAAACAACTTCGTTCTAGTAATCTGGATCTAGGGCAAATTTTACAGTAGCAAAAACTTGTTTAAGTTGGTTAAACGGATAGAGGGTTTCAAGACGAATCCCTAGGCGCTTGAATCGCCTGATTCCGATAAACGAGCGAAAAATTAAACTAAAACGAAAATCGGATCAGGAATCGCGATCAGAAAAATCGCGGATTTAATCTGAGAAAAAGAAAAACGACGAACGCCGAATTTATTTCTCTCTTTTTTTCGACATGGAAAATGAGGCGCGACGAACCTCGGCGGCGAGATCCGGCGGCGGCGGACGGCGGCGGCGGCTTAGGGCGCTTTAGGGTTTCCCCCGGGGCCGGGCCTCGGCTTATAAAGGCCTCCCGGGTCGGTGTCCAGGTCGGACACGGCCCGTTAAGTCGGTTCGTTTTTTTTAATTATTCCGCTCGGAAGAAAAATAAAAAGAAATACTAAACGGACTCCAAAAATTCCGAAATAAATTTTCGCGGGCTTTTAAAATCAAGACGCACAAGGTGAACATTTATTTGGGCCCTAAATACAATTTTGAAAAACGCACTTTTTTCCTAAATTCAAATAAAACACCGAAAAACTCTAAAATAAAATCTTATTTGATTTTATTATTAAATCCTCAATATTTCTTTATTTTGGAAAAGTCATTTTATTCCCTCTCTCATATTTTTGTAATAAAAATAATTGATGATAAAATAAATAAAATCAAATGATCCTATTCTCAAAATTTGAGAAAACTCAAATATGAAAATAACGAAATCCCCAACTCTCTTCGTGGGTCATTGAGTTGTATAGAATTTCTAGGATCAACCAAAATGCAAAATAAAATATGATATGCATGATGCTCTAATGTATAACATTCCAAATTGAAAATTTGGGATGTTACATTTAGTGTTCCTATGTTATCACGCCCACCAGCCAACAGATAAACATACTTTAAATATCCAGATTCACCTTGACTAGTCAACCATTAGGGCGAGTTGGATGGGGAGGAAGGTATTAGAAGTCTAATTGACCATTAGAAGAATTAATTATCAATTATGGGTGTTAGATGAGCCTCATAGATTTTGTGCATTCCGTTAGTCACTATCTTTTTTTGCGGGGGCGTTTAGTTACTATCTGCGGCCACTAATTTATAAGTTATTAATGTTAATCATAGAAAGATTCTTCACTTGGTAACTAAGCATAACCATGTCGGGTTTACATTTTGGGTTTGTCTAGGACACATCTAGATGTGACATAGTTATGTCACATCTAAGCTGATATTCACTTTGTTTGTGGTCTATTTTTTTTGTCTTTGTTTTTTTTTTTGTTTCTTGTTGCTGCATTATGTATTTGTGGGAGCTTAGATGTGACATCCTTAAAAAAACATCTAGATGTGAATTAGTCAAACTGTTACAGTTTATTCTACAAGACTAATTTGATTTTACTTCCCTCTGCAGATTAGGTCAAGTCCAGTGCATGCCAATGCTCCTCGAGAGCTCACAATGCATGATTTGGTGCACGATCTTGCAACGATAATTTTGGGTCATGAATCTATTGTTCTAAATGCTACTGATCCGAGGACTAGGAAGAAAGCAAAACGTCGTTATTGCCGACATGCACAGTTGATCAACTACCAGAATCAGTATAAGGTTTTCAATTATCTGCCAGGCAACATCAGATCCTTCCATGTAAGACATTCAGAGAAACAGCAGCTTCCCCAAAAGGCATTTTCCAGAACCAAGTACATACGGGTCTTGGACATAAGTGGATGTTTAGTTGTGGGGCAATCTACTCCAAGCAACATACTTTTGCCATGTTCCGTGCTTCAGTTGAAGCTACTTAGGTACCTTGATGCCTCTAGCCTGCCAATCACATCACTTCCTGAGTCTTTCCATTCACTTCAAAATATGGAAACTCTGATTCTGTCCAATTGCTCACTTGCAACCTTGCCTGACAGTATCTGTAGCCTCAACAAACTCTGCTATTTGGACCTAGCTGGCAATGCGAGCCTCAGTAAGCTCCCTGACAATTTTCATCTTCTTAACAAACTCATGTTCCTAAACATGTCTAGTTGTTCCAAGCTAACTGAACTTCCTGACAATTTTAGCCTGGAGTGTTTAGAACATTTAAACCTATTAGGTTGTCATGAGATAAAAAATCTACCACAAGATTTCGGCAATCTTGAAAATCTTAGGTTCTTGAAACTTTCTGATTGCTACAAGATTTCAGTTCTACCAGAATCATTTTGCCAACTGAAGCATTTGAAAGACCTAAACCTTTCAGATTGCCGTGCCCTTATAGTACTCCCTGAGTGTTTTGGCGACCTTTCAGAACTTGAATCTTTGAACGTACAAGTTGTCCCAGGCTAGCACGGTTGCCTGAGTCAGTCTGCAAGATGACTAATCTGAAGTGTCTCAATTTGTCATATTGCTTAGGGATGCTAGAGCTCCCCTTGTCACTAGGTGATCTTAATCTCCAAATATTGGACATTTCTGCTGGTGCTCTCGGTCACTTGCCAGATAGCATCAGTAAAATGGCTAGTCTCACCCAATTTGTGGTCACGTCAGGACATCCTAGGGTATTTGGAGAAGCCCAGGAAATTAAGAAGAGTCTAAATTTACCAGGCCGCACAGTACACAGAGTACGCAACACAGGAAGATACAACAGTATTGTTGAGCTTGGACATGTGAATTGCCCTGAGCTGTTAATTCGATCGCTTCAGCGTGTCAAGAGACCGGAAGATGCAGAGACAATCAAGCTGCGTGATAAATCATGTCTTAGACAGCTAGCTCTCCATTGGAATCAGAAGAATATGAATGCTGATGCATCCTCGGCTGAATCTATTTTGGAGAGGCTCATACCAGCTCGAAATCTTGAACAGTTTATGATACAAGGGTATATGAGCAAGGGTTTCCCTAACTGGATGTCGCACATATCCTCCCACCTCCCTTCTGTTACCTATCTGAGTCTTTTTGATTTAGGTGCATGTGATAATCTTCCTCCATTTGGGCAGCTACCAAATTTAAGAAGTCTATATCTGCAGAAAATTCCCAACGTCACGAAAATTGGCAAGGAATTCTATGGAGAGGGTGGAACTTGTACGAAATTAAGATTGCTACAGTTGAAGTCGATGGACAATTTGGTGGAATGGTGGACAACACAGACAGGCGAAGAAGATGGAGAATTTTTAATCCCTAATTTGCATAATCTAGAGTTGAAGGACTGCCCAAAGTTGAAGTTCCTACCATATCCCCCCAGAAGTATGTTTTGGATCTTGGACAATAGCAACGAGGCTTTGGCAGGACCAAGACTTGGATTTTGGGAACTCTCGTCTTCCACTCTTCCTTGTCGCATGGGTATAAAAAATTGCATCTTTCGTTCTTCCGAGTGGTGCATACTACAGCAATTCCCCGCTCTCGAAGAATTCTCATTGACCTCCTGCCGCGGCTTGAGGGCCTTGCCAGAGGCCATTAGCTGCTTCACCTCTCTCAAAAAACTAAGTTTGATGTCGTTGGAGGACCTTGAGATGCTGCCGGATTGGTTGGGATATCTCCCTTCTCTACAAGTCTTGGGCATAAAAGATTGTCGCAATTTAAGAATATTGCCTGCAAGTATGGGAAATCTCACTGCTCTGAGAGTACTAATGCTTCTCGAGTGCGAAGGACTATATAGATTGCCGGAATGGCTAGGACAGTTCAGTTCCCTGCGAGAACTTCACATCAGAGACTGTTTTTTTGACGGAACCTCGTCAGAGGGCGGGGAGCTCCCGCATTGTATTAAGAAGAAGAGAATTGGTCCAGTTAATAAGGGAAACCGGACCCAAAGACCGTACATGGCACGGTTAATCAAGGGAAACCGGCGAAGACCACACACACCCGACTAGCACTCAAGGAACATCGTCCGAGCCGGATACAAGAGTGCCTAGGCCCAAGACCATCGACAACACAACATACCCAATCAAATCAACCTCTGCAACCTCAAGAACACGCCTGCACCCAGATGTGCGTTCGTGCCTAACCTTCAGAAAAATGCTATCACACATTAACCTCCACCAAGGCACGAATTGCCTGGATCGCCGTCGTCATGAGCGGTTTCTTGTACATCCGCAAATAAGACTTCATCTTCTCTTGCACATCCTTCTCGGTGACTTTCTTAGATGTCGTTCCCTTTGGTAGCTCCCCAAAAGCCTCCGCCAACCTATATTCAGCACGCTTGGCAGTCGGGATGTTGCAACTTTTGTTCTTCTTATCCAAACGTCCACTACGCCTCTCGGAACAAGTAGATGCCCCTTCAATCTACACATGAATCGGTGCTTCGAGCAAGGACCGCGGCGCTGTGCAACTGAAGCTACTTAGGAACTCATCCAGCAAGGTGGTAGAAGCCGGACCTTGAGGCATGCCAATGTCACCAAGTAGCTCCTCGGACCCCGAAGACATCATATTGGTAGTGCCCCCTGAAGAAAGCATCACTGGAGAGGAGACCAAGGGAGGCACCTCTGCAGCCAAGCCAGCAGGCAAAACCACCTCAATCTGCTCCATGTCCTTGCTCACTTTGACTATCTCCTCCACCGTTCCTTGCTCCTCCTCGTGTTGAATCACCATCTTGTGCAAATCTACATCCAAAGTAGGAAAAACATCTGCAGGGAGCGCCATAGTAACCAGTACCTCGGACGAGCAACCAGCCACACTAGTCTCACTGACACCCTTAGCACAAGCAACAACGAGAGGCGCCTGTTCCTCATGCTCACACCAGGGGGGAGGCGGATCCATCGGCGCCGAGGAAGAGAAAGGCCCCCCACCGATCCTCGTAGTCCCACCCTCTCGCACCTCAGGAGACCCATTGATGGCCGGCCAAGAAACAACACTGCCACTGATAGCCTCCAGCCGCTCTAAGAGGCTCGAAACCTGAACCGCCCAACCCTGCAGCGCGAACGCCATGTCGCGGAGAGGCTGAATGACCTCCTCAGTACGAGCAGCAGCCAGGGCTTGCACCTCGGTGCGCAGCGCCTCGATCTGAGCTGCAAAGTGGGGTTGCAGCAGCCCCAATTCAGCAGCAATGGAAGACTTGACGAGGTCGGCAAGACCTGAGCAAGGGGAGCCGGAGTTGCTACAAGGCGCCTCCTGAACGAGCACAGCCGGAGAGGCTGCAACGGAGGCCCACGAGCGATGTCGCGGATCTGGCGGAGGCGCGTGGCAGGGTGGCGCAGCCGGTGACCGACGTGGAGAGGCCGCAGGCGAGGGGGAGTGGCGGGTTGAAGCTTGTCTGGCCGGAAGGCGCGTTGGGCACTCCCGCTCGCGGTGGCCAGAGATCCCACAACCCAGGCACCTTATAGGGTCGCGGCAGTCAGCCACGAAGTGCTCCGACGCGAGGCAACGGAAGCAGCGGCCGTACGTTCTCCTCTTGAAGGCGAGGGAGAGGCCGACCCCTTTCCTGGGAGATGGAGCAGGCGCCTTCTCCATCCACGAACGACGCTGTCCCCCAACCTCCACCCAAGGCTGCTCGGAAGACGCCACAAGTGCCTCGGCGACCAGCTTCGGCGTAGAGTTCGCGGGAAGGCGAGGTGGAGGAGGTGGCAGCAGGAGCTCAGAGCACCCCCAGGGAGCAAGGGACGGGAGCCTCCAGCCCTCCAACGGCGGCAGCAAGCGAGGGATCTGGATCTGGATCGGGAGGGGGGCAGGGAGCGGGGGGTGGAGGTGGAGTGGTGGCTGGGAGGGCTGCTGGGGAGAGGGAGGTGGAAGCTGAGGAGGCCATGAGACAAGGATGAGGAGGAGCTCAGGGATCGAAACTACGCGGCGGCGGCGGCGTCGTCGCGGGAGCTCGACATCACATTTTTGCCTGAAAGCATAAGAAACCTTACTGCCCTGGAGGAATTGTACATTTCTGGATGTTCAAGTCTGGTCCATAGGTCCCGAAGGGAGGATGCATGTAAGGTTTCTCACACCCGTAAAGTAATATTAGAGCCAGAGGAAGAACCAAATGAAGAAGGACAAGAAGAATTATTAGCGCAAGAAGAAGGACAAGAAGAATTAGAGGTACACAACTACAAAAAGCCCTTTTATTACATCTTTGTAATTACAGGTAATCACTTATAGTTTCATTTGCACATGTTATTGCAATGATCTTGAAGACCTGGGCATTCAAAGCATGCACATATATTTCACTTTCGTGTATGTCCATATGTCATTCACGTACTCAGTCACTTTATATGACTTCTGCTTTACTAACTCTTAAAGACAGGATGTTAGAATTGCTGCCAAACCCCCTGATTACTGTACCACAGTACTGAACTTCCAGATTAGCAATAGACCTGGGCATAAAGCCTTGTCTCTCAAAAAAAAAAAAATCGGTGTCAAATGTGTATAGGGCCATAGTTGGAATTGGTGTAAGCGGGCAGGCGCGGGGTGTGTGGGGGTAGCCTTTTGGGTCGAACATATGTAACTCGGTTCTGTTATATAAAGGCATCACATGGTAGCCAAAATAGACTTGACAAAGCTGGTAGGCTAGACATAAGATCACGAGGGTGACCGGACTAGCCCTGGTGTGATGGTCTTGATGCGTCTGATGACCTCGACGGACTTGTAGTTGATTATACTATGTTGTTAGTTCATGAAAGAGGAGCACGTAGTCATGCTCTAGTGATGTAGGGGCTGATCCATGAACCTCGTTAACACATATTGTCTCTCAGTTTACTTTCCGCAATGGCCTAATCATGTAAGTTGTAGTATGCACAGGAATCATGTATGGATAGCCTATGGAGAGAATTAAGTGAAAGATGGTCAAGACATAGAGAGGACCGAGAAGAACTAGAGGTATGAAACTCCAAAAGCCTAGTAACTTTTAATCTAGGAATTATGGTTTCATTTGCACTTCTAATCTAATAATCATTGTTTCATTTGCACATGTTCTTGCTACTAATCTAAAAATGTTAGTGAATTATTTGTGAAAAAATGTCCACAGATTTGTTAAAATGTTCGTGAAACAAAAAAAAATCATGAATTTGAATAATGTTCACAAAATCCAAAAATGTTCACGAATTCTAAAGATCTTCATGATTTTGAAAAAATTAAAAAAATGTTCATGAAATCAATAAATAATCCCTAATTCAAAAGATGTTCACGGATTTGAAAAAATATCAAGAAATTCATAAAATGTTCATGAATTCAAAAAATCATGAACATATTTTGAATATTGAAAAATAAAAAATAAAAGAAAATAAGAAAGAGAAGAAAAATTAAACAAAAAGAAAGAACCAAAGGAAAAACAAAATGAACGAAGCCGAAAAGAAAGAACAGAAAAGCATGGCCCATGACCAGCACTGCCCGCATAAGGGGCGCTCAAGCGATCCATGCACAACTTCTGCCTGATTGGAGATCGGCGTTGTTCTAGTGGCAAGTCATTTTTCTGTTTTCCCCTCCCTCCCACGAGCTCCCGGGAACCCTTAGTCCGCCGCCACACCCCCTCCCTCAGCCATCCCCTCTGGGCCACCCAGAGTCGCTGCCGGGCGAAGCCCGGCTGGCAAGGGCGGCGGCGGGGCTTTCCCTTCCCCTCCGCTCGTGTCCCACGGCTGGCGCGGGGCGGCCGGTCGAGTGAGGGCGCTAGGCTATGGCGGGGTCCAGCGGCACATCTTCACGGCGGCGACAAGAGTGCCTAGTGGTGTCGCGTTGGCTTCCTGGGAGGCGTTGGTGGTGCAGCGACTGCCGAAGACTCAGATCGGGCGGTGGCGTGCTCAGGCATCTTCTGCCAGATCCCTTCAGGTTTGGCCTCGGGTGGTTGCGGGCGATGTAGGGTGGTGGCAGTGGTCCAGCAGGGAAGCTGCATACGTGGTGGTGGTTTGCAGTGGCGTGGCTGCAGCCATGGTGGCCGGCCTGAGTCTGGTTGCGGCGGCGGGACGTGTTCCGACGTCGGTTCGTCTGCGGCCGGGTAGGGTGGGCGCTCTCCCTCCTCTTTTTTTTTAAAGCAACTTGGCTTTATTACTTAACTGTTGTTGGGCAAATCACCCAAAACACGGTCACCCACATGGGTGCGTATATCGGACTCCCACTGCATGCATACAGTGGTTTTGATCATACATGCGGCCAAGGTTGGCCAATTCATGAGCTACTGTATTTGCACTTCTCCTACAAACCGAAATGGAGAACTCAGGGAACCAAATTTTCAGTTGATATTTCATGTCCTCGATCACCGCAGCGTACGCCGAGGAATCCACCTTCCCCGGGTCAAGAGCATCCGCCAGGAGCTGTGAATCCGTTTCAAACTCCACTCGGGTCATACCCATATCTGCAGCAGTGTTGATCGCTTGTGACATCGCCATGGCTTCTGCCGAGAAAGCATCGTTGATATTCTCGCCTCGACTTGCCCGTGCACAGAGTAAGGGACCATCCTTCGATCTGATAGCAACTCCCCATCCTGCATGTTGCTGGCCA